AGAGGAAGGAAATCTCACATTTTACTATTTTAAAAAAATGATTTGCATGTATTACTATTTCTCAAATTAGCTTAACAATATAAATCTCCAGGCATTCTAAGGAAAATCTATCTCCTCCTCCTTCAGGGCCTTCCTAAGCCTCACATCTTCCACTGTCTGGAAGAAGTTTAACTCACAGCTTGCTCTCCTTGCTTTTCTGGGAGGGAGGTGCTGCCTGGAATACTCCTGAGTTTGCTCCCAAGTGGATGAGAAAGGAATATCCATTTGCTGTTGCCCATCGTGGGTCTTGTGGGTCAGTTCTCCCCTGAATAGGTGAGAAAGGGCTCACATCTTCTATCTGGGCAAGGACTGTGTCTTCTGATGCCCCCCACCTGCTCCTACTCTGCCAGCCCCTATTGCCTTACACATCACAGACCCCTAATACATATTTCTTGGACTAATGTCTGTCTCACTCAGGAGACAGTAAGCTCCATCAAAGAAGAGGCCATGTCAGCTGCTCATTTCTGCAGCCCCAGACTCAGCGCAGTCACCAATGCTGAGGAGGTGCTTGGTAAGCATTGTTGAATAAATATGTGATTGAATGATTCTGTTGAAACAGAATCTTGATGTAAATCCACATGTGGGAATAAATAAGCATTTGTATTCTTCACTGATGAGAGTTCTTGACAAGACCCAGCCAGCCCACCTCTGGTATTAGCGACATTCACATGCCCACAGATATGGACACCAAATGGTAATTCTCCATTTACTTGTTTGCTTCCCCATGAGGCTGTGAGATCGTTGAGGGAAGCAAGGGAGTCAGATTCATTATTTTATCAAGGCCTTGATTGTAGTAGGGGCTTAGCAAATTTACAGAAGGAACAAGGGAGAAAAATGTTGTTCCACAAGCGCCTGTCCTAATATTTTCTTTTAGTAACTCATATTGGGCAGCAAGATTAAAAGTTATTCTGACTTGAAAGTAAATTGATTGCGAATGAATCATGTCAATATCTACACTATCATAGCCTATTCCTAGATAGAACAGACACTAAGAAGAGAGACGAGAATGGTTAAATGAACTAAAGCCTCATAGTTCAATTTGCTTTTAGTTGGTGTCCTTCATTCCTGTATCAAAGGCTTTAAAAAACTCAGTTAAAAGATCTTGAGGTTGAGGAGCTGGGTGCCAGTGAGGAAAACCAGTGCTTCTGCGGGATGGGTGTGCTGAAGAAGGGGCATCTCAAGAAGACAAAGAAGATGCACTTGCTGTGTGCTAAGGAAGGAAGTCGGGCCCTCCTGCAAGGCCTCCCTCACAGGGTCTGAAGTTAACTTCAGTAGAAACAGCCCTTTATGGCAAATCAGATACAGGCATTGTATCTATGTTAAATTTACAGAACTTGATAACTATACTGTAGGTATACAAGAGAATATCCTAACTCTTAAGAAATACATACTGAATTATTTAGGGATAACACATTGATTGTTCAGAAAAAAATATGTATACAGTAGAGAGTGCATATACAGAGGAGAAAGCAAATGGGCAGAAATGTTCATAGGCAGCTCTTGGTAAAGAACCTGTGGATGTTCTTTATTATGGTCTTGTATATTTTCTGTACATTTGAATCATACCCAGATAAGTTTTATGTTTTTTAAAAAAGGAAAATAATAATTCCAATTTAAGAGCATTGAAGGACCCTTTTAACATGTTTAAACCCTCTCAGTGCACCCGCCCTTATGCAAGAGTCATTCCGGCTGTGTTCCCGCTGGCAATCCCTGAGGTGGGGCCTTCCTGGGGAAGGGTGTTCCTGAGCTCTCGCCCCACATCCCAGCAGCATCACTGGTCCTAATTGCCACTGCCTATATCTGCTTTTTCTGGCCCTTACTGTCTGCCTCAATTACTTATTTTCTTTAGATTGAGATGAAATTCACCCTTTAAAGTATATAGTTCAGCCATTTTTAGTATATTCACAAGGTTGTAAAATCATCACCACCATCACATTTTCATTGCCCCCCAAAGAAACCCCACACCTTCTAGCAGTCAGTACCCATTCCTTTTGCCCTGGCCACCACTGTCTGTCTCTGTGAGTCACCTATGCTGGACATTTCATGTGAGTCATACAACAGGTGGCCTTTGGTGTCTCAATACATCTTCCAAGTTCGGCCATGTTGCAATGTGCATCAATCTCTCATTACTTTTTATGCCTGTGTGATATTCCATTGCATAAATATCAATTACTTCTTTTTACTTTACTTTTCTTTTGGATAGCTTGTGTATTTTTGAAGGGGCTTTAAATCCTCTTAGAATCTGGTCAGGGTCGAAAGTGAAGAATGTGTGTGACCCGAAGGAAGGAGGAAGGGGGTCGCCGGGCCCCTCAGAGGAGAGTCAGCCCTCTGATGGGTGTGGTCTCATCACTCCTGCTCTGGAGCCAGCGAGCACAGGGCACTTACGGGCCTCCACTGTGACCCCATTTGCCCACACCTCCCCTCCATGCTGCTGAGTGAGGAGATTTCCAGAGGGATTTGTGAGGGGAACCAAGGCGCTGAGAAGGGGAGCCCTGGGCAAGAAGAGCATGAGGAATACTACATAAACATGCACACACACGCACACACACACATGTACACACAGACACACAGCAGTCAGGCTTTAATCACAGAGATAGACTCACCCTTGTTTGTTGTCCCTTTCCAGCTGAAGGATTCCAGTCAAGTTACAGGAGGTGGGTAGTCCCGAGGGCACTGTTATATGTTGTGATTCTCAAGGGAACAGCCCTTTGCTGGGGACTCAGCAGACTATCCTGGGTAGGACACTTCTCAGCTGCCACCAGTCTCCTGTGTGTGTGTGTGAACACGTGTGTGTGTGTGTGTGTGTGTGTGTGTGTGTTAGCCCCAGTTCTTTGCTGCAGGCAAAGCAGAGACAAGAAACGAAAGGGAAAGGGGGTTCCCTCTCTCTCTGAAGGGCTAAGAGCTGATCCTGGACAGAGGATGGGGCTCAGAGGTAAGGAGAGTGGAACGTGGAGAGGCGGAAGGGAAAGCGTTAAAGACAGAACCCTCTATGGGTCAGGAAGGGCCAAAAGGACATGATTTATTTCACGAAGAGTGAGTTCTCTACCATCAAAGGTGATGAAAGAATGAGTCAGAGAGAACAGGACTGCTTTTCAGCAGCCCATACCCATTTTGGAAAGGTGAGGGTAAAATGAATCATTGTGAACTGATTAGGTTAGAACAGCAGAGTGATGCAAAAATTCTGAGACAAATTTTCCAATCAGTTCTGTTGTCTGATGAATTGGCCTTCTAGCCACACAGTTCAGAAAAGCCTCATCTATCCTTCAACCCTTCAGGGAGGGATTCCACACGGGGCCATTCCAGGGCTCGCAAGCTCTCTTGCCAAGACTGCTCTGATGGAAGCATTTCCAAAGTGCTTTTCATTTCCCACTTTTCTTTAGCAAGGACCACTCAATATAATTCACCCTTGGTATGATGGCTGAGATTACCAATGCTGCAGGACAAGTTGACTGAGAAATAAAATATGCCCTGCTCTCTTGGCTTTACAGTCATCACCAGAGAGTGATGACAACTTATTCTCCCCACCCGAGGAGAGGAACCAGAGCTCATGTCTCTTGTTTTGCAGAAGACTTGAGATCTCTGACTTTGAAAGAGCTGCTGGAAGCACCAGAGAAGAATGGGACTCTGGGGAAGGCAGGGCTCAAGTGGGGAAGGGCAGGGTGGAGGGTCCTGCTTCCTTGTGGCACTCGAGGGGCTGGCCCTCTGCTGGGATACGTGGGGACAAGCTACCCAGCCTTGCCCTCCTCAGCTGGGGAGCCAGGGCAGTGGTCCTGGCAGCTGCATAGCACAGACTGACTGGGTGTTATGAATATTCAAGCTGCCCACCTCGCATAAATTGCATGGGCCTCGACAGCGAGTGGCCAATGGCAATCGTGCTGAATGGCAGACCAGAAACCCTTCCAAGTTACCTAGACGTTGTCATCCCCAGGGTCCTTGTATGATGCTGGGATTGGGGTAGGGGAATCCTTAAATATGACTGAGATTAGATTTCTCTCCATTACCGGTTGTGCGGACTGCCCAGGTGTAGCTGGATTTGGAAAATCCAAAGACAGTCACACTGAGCATGAGTGTGAACCCTGTGACAATTAGTCCCTGGGCTGTGACGCCACATGGTGGCACCAGAGGAGAGGGGCACCTGCTGTTATCCAGCCTCCCCAGTCCCTTTTCCCTGCTGCTACTATTCTCTGCCCCATTTACAAAGAGCTCCTCCGTTCCCCTGCAGATGGCAGTTCTTGGGCTGTGAGAACTCCTCACTTGTGCACTCAGTTGTCTGCTCCCGTTCAGGGTCCTGCCTGCACCAGACAGTTCAGGTGGCTGGGTGGCTGGCTTTCTGATACATGGAGGCTTTCCTCAGTTAGGTCCTGTGAGTCAAGGTGATATTGAGACAGAAACCACAAACTCGTCGGAGATTTCTCCAAATTACTAGCACTGGAGAAACCCTGACTTCATTTAGCCCACTGACTTTTTGTTTGCATTTTTCTAAAAAAAAATTAAATCAGTCAGGATCATCTCAAAAAAACATATGAATTCTCAACTTCTCTTGAAAAGATGAAAAAATATAGCAGCATGAGGCCCCAGTCCCTCATGGCAGGGCGTGGCTGGAGCCACGCAGGGCCGCCCCTCCGAAGAAGCCTTGCTATCCAGCTCGCACAGCTGCAGATCTGCCCTGGGACTTTCCTCCTCTCACCTTCATTCTGCCCACCAGGCCCCTGTCAGTATATGAGCTGGCCTCCTACTCCCGATCCTGGAGAGGCCAGGGCCCTTTAATGTCCCCTTTACTTTTAAGCTTAGTGTAGAAGCCAGCTTGCATCTTCCTACTAAACTTTCAATAACTGCTGATTGCCAGCATCACTAAGTCCAAACAGCAGCCCCGGGCAGTACCTTAACCTTCCGGTTGTCCAGGCCCTTTGTGTACTCATCAAACTCCACTCCAACGGTGAAATCCACTTCATAGTTGCGGAACGTGCTGTTTGTTTTTGTCTTGAAGTTATCACCGTTTTGCTCAATGATCTTTGTCTGAGTCAGATGTATTGCGATCTTGCGGGTGGCAAAATCAATATCTGTTGGCAAAGGGAGTTGTGGAAGCTATGATGTACTCAGCCAGACTCATTCATTTCTTTAACAAGGCCAAACATTCAGGACCAGAGACACAGATCATGGACAGGTCACATATCTTGCTTAAGTGGGAAACCAGAGTTTCTTACACGTGGTCAGTTAGGGCCTCTCAGTCAATTGTCAGCAAACCTGGGGTCTCTCGGTGCCTTCTCAGGAGCGCTGAAGGGAGGGCTCACCCCTGAGCCACAACGCCCCAGCATGTGTACATGCACACACACACACACCCCTTCACCAGAGGAGCTCGTTCTATTTGACATACTGGGTTTCCTCCTAAGAGTGTGCTGGACAAAAGTCTTCATGGTTTAAAAGAAAAAAGATTGTTTAAAAATAACAGTCTAGATCATGGGTAAAGATGGACTTTTGTTAATGTCCACAGAGGGAGGGATATGTACAAACTTCCAGTTTGAAAACAGTCTGGTCGGGGGGGGTACTTAGCTTGTTCTGCCTCAGTCATGAGCCCCCACGACAGCTTTAAGCTATTCCAGGTGGTTAATGAACATTTGCTCATAGATTTCTTTTGCTGTTTTTAAGGAAAAGATGAATAATTTCATGTTTTTTTTTTATTATGAAACATCTTAAAGAAACCAAAGTAGAGAGGAGAATACAAAGAACTGGAACGCCTGTCACCCAAATTCAACATTTGTCAAGATTTTTCCACATTTACTCCATTTACATCTTTTCATCTGCCTTGATACTTTAAACAGAATCTTGTTCATTTCTTAGAGACTATTAGTGAGTAAAACGGAACATGCCCCTCAACAGGGGTGTTTCATTTCCTAAGCTTTGCATTTTATAGTAAGAAGCTAAGTGCTGAGCTGACCTACTTGTAAGCCTCTAGGTGTGCACAAAACATCACCCAGGCCAAAAAGTCACTGTCCTGTGGAATGGATGTAGTAACAGGACAATTCTGGAACTACTAAATTTCTATCCTTGCTAAAAAAATCATTAAGCTCTTGGTTTCTAACTAAATCATATTTAACCCCTTTTATGCCTATGAATTCTCCAGATATCTTTGGATAACAATCAATTTCTTATTTCTGTTTCAGAAAGTCCACCTGGAAGGCTTCAAAACCACTGAGACTGAGTCTTTCAGAAGCCAAGGCAATAGTGACCCCCAGAATAAGAAGAATTCAGATTCCTTGAGCACCCCAACCCCATGTCTATAGCAGGGAGGGGATGAAACCTCACAGTGTGTGCTGTCTGTGGGATGGTCAGTACTATTGTGCCCATAGGGATACCACCAGTTACCAACAGTTCCAGGAGCCCCGGTCAATTTGGAGAAACAACATGTCTGCTGGCTGCACCCCCACCTCCCTGCTGCCATTCCGTGGTAGCCAAACATCACTTCCCTCCCCATTTTCTCCCATTTCCTTCTGAATCCTCTTTGGTCACTGTCACTCTTCTTCTCCCCAAGGATGGATAAGAGGCCTGAGCTGGCTGCTTGGACCTCACTTTGGGTCAGCAGTCTAACCTCGGCTGGGAACCCACAACAGAATCCCATCTGCAAGGGGAAGGGCTCGGGCTTGTCATTTGGGCCCAAAATTGTGTACAGTCAGTTTTTATCATAGTGAATAATTTCAGGTACATCAGGCAGCCCAGGAGGTAGAAGGTTAATATGTCTATATCCTCAGTTGCAAAGAGAAAGAGGTCCAAGTTGGCATGAGTTGGTGCATGAATGCCAGTCCCTTGCTCAACTATTGTTCATTTTCAGTTGAGAACCTGCCATGTCTAAGAATTCCCCAGTGGGTTCCAAAGCTGGCTGCCCATCAGGATCACTTGTGAAGATGTAAAAAACTACAGATTTCTGAAATTTACCACAGACCTACAATCTCTGGGTGGTTTTAGATCTTGGATTTCCTTATAGGGGGCTGTTTGGAGAAAGGCTTCTCTGGTTGAAGAAATATGAAAGCCGCTGTTTATGCAACTACTCCTTCCATTATAGGTGATGGAGGCCCAGAGAGGTTAAGTGACTTATTTAAGCATACATAGCTGAAAAACAATCACAAGGGTTTGATAATTGGATGGATGTGGGGGTGGGGATGAAATTGGGAGCAGAGAACAGTGGTTTTGTGCTTGGGAGAGCCAGGGAAGTCAAAGAGAGAATTAATTTTATGGGAAAACATAGGAGCTGAGTTTTAGGTGAAGTGAATCTGGGGACCATGCTGTGTAGACCCTTGTCAATATTTGGGATGGTATTAGGAGATGCCTTGACACCAACCAGAAATGGTGCCTGATGGTGGAACCTCCCTTGGGAAACCTCACTCACTTCATTCTCCCAATAGACCCCCGAGGTGGGTATTGTATTATTTCCATTTTACCATTGAGGAAATTGCATCAGAGAAGCTGTGTCACTTGCCCTGGGTCATATCATGAGGAAGCACTAGAGATGGAATTTGAATCCAGGATGGTCTCCAGGGCAAGCGTTGTGCTCCAGAGCTCTGGGCTGGCACGTCTCATCAGGTCAGCCCAGCCCAGTTTGTGCATTTTCTGTGGCTGCCTAAGGTACCAGTAACTTGGGACTGATTCTTCTTCTTTACGTTTCTCCTGGAGCCACAGGGACTTCTGGATCCAGCTGTCTCTTGTGTACCACCTCCACCAGACAGGCCCAAGGGCTCTATAAGAAGGCTGAGCTGGATCAATCACACTCCAAGCCCTGAACATCCTCTGACAGCTCATTTAGTTTCAGCTCTGTGGCATATGGAATTGCACCTGGGCTCAACCGAGCCACACTGGCTGGCCACAGGATGTGGGATGAGACAGAGGCTCTCTTTGCTGCCCTTTTTGCTGTGAGTACTTCTCAGCATCTCAGCATTCACAGAGCCCAGGGTGCCCTCCTGAGTCTACCATGTGCTCAGCTCCATAGGGCATTTGGTGGACAAAAAAAAAAAATGGCTCATGATCAGCAAAGTTTGGGAAATGAGGAATTAAAGAGAAACTGGTTCCTGCACTGAAGAACTTTACAAAGCCTTTAATCTAGGAAAGATGCTTCGTACCTCCAATAGCAGGCTACAGGATTCAACCTTCCCCAGTCTTAAGTGGCTCTAGAACCCCTCTGTGGTGGGACACCCAGCTGGCCTGATGTTCCACAGAACATAACACAGAAAGGGCTGGCAAAACCCCTTCTGAGGCATTCATCTCAGTCACCTGGACTCTGCAATTATGGAAATGTCTCCTGTTTAATTTTTCTTCCTTCCAGGCAACTGCTAGCCTGTTTGAAAGGGAAGAAACTAGAGGACCAAGTAGTCAAGCATTTGACTTGGAAATGGATCCTTCCTTAAAATTGCTTAAAGTCACTAAAGAATGTCTTCCATATTCTAGTCAGTATAAACACATCTTGTGGTGGGCAGAGGGCTACCAGATCATATTCTGAACCCCTCTGTGGTGGGACACCCAGCTGGCCTGATGTTCCACAGAACATAACACAGAAAGGGCTGGCAAAACCCCTTCTGAGGCATTCATCTCAGTCACCTGGACTCTGCAATTATGGAAATGTCTCCTGTTTAATTTTTCTTCTTCCAGGCAACTGCTAGCCTGTTTGAAAGGGAAGAAACTAGAGGACCAAGTAGTCAAGCATTTGACTTGGAAATGGATCCTTCCTTAAAATTGCTTAAAGTCACTAAAGAATGTCTTCCATATTCTAGTCAGTATAAACACATCTTGTGGTGGGCAGAGGGCTACCAGATCATATTCCCACTCTTGTTTCTTTCCTTTAACCCTAGAAACCTGGCTAGTGAGTTAGGCGGTGTCTGTGACATCAGTCCCATCACTGGACTCCTGGGTCAGGATGTAGAAGTGGCAGAAAACAATGGCCATAAATTGGAGTTATTATTAAATGCACCATGTTGCTTTGAGGATGAAATCTGAGGGCGTTTGTGAAGAGCTCTGCCCAGCGGCTGGAGGCCTGTGGTAATGACCCCATAAACAGTAGCTGCTGGCATCATCATAATCATTACTAAGCCCCCTGGTCTCCCAGGCTGGTGTTCTTGAAATTCTTTGCATTTTTCCAGGTACACACTATATGTTTGCTCCCCAAATCCCTGCCCCTCCCCATCCTGATCTCCGAATTTCATGAGGCCCAGCCTGAGGCTGTTCTGCCGTTTCTTTCCTCCTTCCTCGTCTGCTTTCTAGGTTACAGGGGTTTACCCCCAGGAGAAGCCACCTGGTATCCCCCTCTGACGCTTTCATGTGGTTGATCGTTCCCTCCTCCAAAGCCTGACCTCTGTGAAGACAGGGACAATGCTGTCTCCTTGCTCTATGTCCCCATAGAACCAGGCCCAGGGCTGGGCGCACCGTAGAGACTCAGGCAACACTTATGGATTGGTTAATGGGAGCATCGCAGGCTAGGACAGTGGTTCTCAAATCGAGGTCCCTGGGCCAGCAGCATCACAGAGCCTGGGGACCCTCAGAAAGGTAAACTCTGGAGCTTACCCTGGACCCACAAGGCCTGGGCCCTGCTTCCTTTTACAAGCTTTCCAAGTGACTCTGTGTACTCTGAAGTTTGGAACCATGGGTATAAACAAGTGAGGGTGAGGGCCGGATGTGGGCCTAAGTCCTGTCCCTGATTTCCCAGCCATGTGACCTTGGCGAGGTCCCTTTCCCATTCTGAGCCTCAGTTTTCTTAAAGTAAAATAGGGAAAACTGCCCATTTCATAGGGTTACTTATATAAGGATTCAGTTCAAATGATGGTAAAATACTTTAGACAGTGCCAGTGAGCTTGTGCATATTCAACGCACATTTGCCTCTACCCCTTGGCCTTTTCTATTCAGGTCAAATGGTGGCCAGATCAGCATTCAGTCCAGAGGGAGAGGTTTGGGTCATATTTATGCATCTCCACAGCCATTTGCCACTCCATGCAGTCCAAGGGCCCTGGACTTGGAAGAAACAGTCAGAAGGTGCTGGGCCACTCCCTTACTAGCCTAATCCTGGCCTGTCGTGCGGGCATTT